TGTTGTCATCTAGCCTTCCATTATTACATCCGGTGCAAATCATTTTTTTTTTCTTGTTGTAATTACAACCTGGAGACTGAGTAGAGATTTAAGTAAAATATGCAATCTGCAGTTCAATTTATGAGCAGACGTTAGACAGCGACGTGACGTTGCAGAAGTTGAAGCACGCGATTGTAAACCAACAGCACTTCACACAACCATGAAAGTCGCTTGGAAGTAACTGTGACGGTTTAACAACGTTGCAATGGACGGTAGATTTACACTTTTGCACAGTAATTATTTCGATAATTTCGTTACAAATCACTGTATTCCAATTGCACTGATTATTAATTATCATCACCAACACAAGTAGTAACACAATACTACAGCTACCGATAAAAACTGTTCAGTAAAAACTATAATCTTCAATTTATAATAGGAGCTCAACTTTAATGTGATGTTCGTGATGACGTTCGTCGTTTTTCTCTCAATATACTTTGAGTAGCGAGAACGGATTTTTATTATCTCCAGTGTCAAGTCCTGTATAGTGGCGAACTAGGTGATATTTCAATAAAACTTAGCAAATAGACGTAATTCCACGTACTTTTGAGGTCGGTTTTTTTAGTACTCTGTACTCTGAAATTACCTTTTAAAACATTTGTAGATATTTGTAGCTTCTCTCCTGTACGAGTCCTTAAATGTAGGTACATTAAAATTGTATTTACGAGAAAAATCCTTGTTACAGTGGTCACATTTGTATGGTTTCTCTCCAGTATGAATCTTTGAATGTGATTCACAATGTGCTTTACAGGCAAAAGATTTGTCACAGTGATGACATTTAAGTGGTTCTCTCCAGTATGGACCATTAAATGAAGCTTAAGATTATATTTTGCTGCAAAATGTTTATTGCAAATTTCACACTCGTATAGTTTATCTCCAGTATGAATCATTAAATGTTTAATTAATTGACATTCAGGAGTAAAACCTTTGTGACAGTGGTCACATTTCTATGGTTCCTCGTCCACATGTAGCTTTAAATGTGCCTTTGAATACCGTTCACAAGCAAAACCTTTGTTACAGTGGTCACTTTTCTATGGTTACTCATCCACATGTAGTTTTAAATGTGCCTTTGAATACCATTCACAAGCAAAACCTGTGTTACAGTGGTCACATTTCTATGGTTCCTCATCCACGTGTAGCTTTAAATGTGTTTTTAAATACTGTTTACAAGCAAAACCTTTGTTACAGTGGTCCATTTGTATGGTTCCTTGTCCACACGAATCTTCAAATGTGTCTTTAAATACCGTTTACAAGCAAAACCTTTGTTACAGTGGTCACATTTCTATGGTTCCTCATCCACATGAATCTTTAAATGTGTCTTTAAATACCGTTTACAAGCAAAACCTTTGTTACAGTGGTCACATTTCTATGGTTCCTCATCCACATGAATCTTCAAATGTGTCTTTAAATACTGTTTACAAGCAAAACCTTTGTTGCAGTGGTCACATTTCTATGGTTTCTCGTCCAAATGAATCTTTAAATGTGTCTTTAAATACCGTTTACAAGCAAAACCTTTGTTGCAGTGGTCACTTTTCTATGGTTCCTCATCCACATGTAGTTTTAAATGTGCCTTTGAATACCGTTCACAAGCAAAACCTTTGTTGCAGTGGTCACATATCTATGAGTTCTCGTCCACATGAATCTTTAAATCTGTCTTAAATACTGTTTACAAGCAAAACCTTTGTTTCAGTGGTCACATTTCTATGGTTCCTCATACACATGAATCTTTAAATGTGTCTTTAAATACTGTTTACAAGCAAAACCTTTGTTGCAGTGGTCACATTTCTATGGTTCCTCGTCCAAATGAATCTTTAAATGTGTCTTTAAATACCGTTTACAAGCAAAACCTTTGTTGCAGTGGTCACTTTTCTATGGTTCCTCATCCACATGTAGTTTTAAATGTGCCTCTGAATACTGTTCACAAGCAAAACCTTTGTTTCAGTGGTCACATTTGTATGGTTTCTCTCAAGTATGAATCTTTAAATGTGTATTTAAATTGCATTTATAAGCAAAAACTTAGTAACAGTGGCCACATTTGTATGGTTTCACTTCTGTACGAATCTTTGAATGTGATTCACAATGTGCTTTACAGACAAAAGATTTGTCACAGTGATCACATTTATATGGTTTATTTCCAGTATGGACCATTATATGACACTTAAGAGTATATTTTGTTGCAAAATGTTTATTGCAAATATCACGCTCATAGGGTTTCTCTCCAGTATGAATAATTAAATGTCTATTTAAGTTATATTTAGACACAAATTTGATTACAGTGGTCACATTTGTTTGGTTTCTCTCTCATGTGGATCAGTAAATGTGTATTTAAATAGTATTTAGAAGGGAAACCTTTGTTACAGTGGTCACATTTGTATGGTTCCTAGTCCACATGATTCTTTAAATGTGTCTTTAAATACCATTTAGAAGTAAAACCTTTGTTACAGTGGTCACATATGTATCGTTCCTTGTCTACATGATTCTTTAAATGTGTCTTTAAATACCATTTAGAAGTAAAACCCTTGTTACAGTGGTCACATATGTATTGTTTCTTGTCCACATGATTCTTTAAATGTGTCTTTAAATACCATTTAGAAGTAAAACCTTTGTTACACTGGTCACATTTGTATGGTTTCTTTCCCATATAAATCAGTAAGTGTGTATTTAAATAGTGTTTAGAAGGGAAACCTTTGTTACAGTGGTCACATTTGCATTTCTTTCCTGTATGCATCTTTAAATGTCTACTTAAATGGCATTTATAAGCAAAAGTTTTGTTACAATGGTAACATTTATGTGGTTTCTTTCCAGTATGGGCCATTATATGACACTTAAGAGTATATTTTGTTGCAAAATGATTACTGCAAATATCACACTCATAGGGTTTGTCTCTAGTATGAACAATTAAATGTCTATTTAAGTTATATTTATACGCATAACTTTTATTACAGTAGTCACATTTGTATGATTCCTCGGCCACGTGAATCTTTTCCTCGTCCACATGAATCTTTAAGTGTGTCTTCAAATACCGTTTACAAGCAAAACCTTTGCTGCAGTGGTCACGTTTGTATGGTACCTTCTCCACATGAATCTTTAAATGTGTCTTTAAATACTGTTTACAAGCAAAATCTCTGTTACAGTGGTCACAATTGTATGGTTTCTTTCCTGTATGAATCTTTAAATGTGCACTTAAATTGCATTTATAAGCAAAAACTTTGTTACAGTGGTGACATTTATGTGGTTTCTTTCCAGTATGGGCCATTATATGACACTTAAGAGTATATTTTGTTGCAAAATGTTTACTGCAAATATCACACTCATAGGGTTTGTCTCTAGTATGAACAATTAAATGTCTATTTAAGTTATATTTAGACGCATAACTTTTATTACAGTAGACACATTTGTATGGTTTCTCTCTCATGTGAGTCTTTAAATGTGTATTTAAATTGCATTTATAAGCAAAAACTTTGTTACAGTGGTCACATTTATATGGCGTCTCTCTCATGTGAATCTTTAAATGGGTATTTAAATTGCATTTATAAACAAAAACTTTGTTACAGTGGTCACATTTATATGGCTTCTCTCCAGTATGCACCATTATATGCTGCTTAACACAATATTTTGTTGCAAAACATTTATTGCAAATATCACATTTGTGCCGTTTCTTTCCTGTCTGAGTGCTTAAATTTTGGTTCGTCTTCTCTCTGGTACGAGTTATTTTATGAAGCTTAAGATGGTATTTCCCTGTATAACATTTAGTGTTAGTATCACATTTGTATGGTCGAGTATCAACTTTCAACCCATCAGGTGTGTTCTGCATGTATCTTGCTTGAGCTAAATCAGTAGGCTGCAACACCACAGGTCCTATGGCCAATTCTTCCTTGATTTCATGATCAGCATACAGATCCTCCTCCTCCATATTCCTTTGTTCTTCTTCTGCAGCACCAACTGGCTCTTGTTTAATGTGGACATTCGTATGTAAATCCACAGGGCTGATAACTAATGCACTTGCTTCCACCTTGACGGTCATGGCTTGAGCCAGCATCAGTTTTGTAAAATTATCCATTTACAAAAATTATTATGGCGATTGAAAAAGGCGAAAAAGGTACATTCCGTGTTCCCAGTTGCCAGATTAAATCTTTTTTTGGCTCAACTTTAGTATACGTGACGGGCGATGAAATCGAGAAGTAGACGGGCGATGAAGTGATGGATCGAGTTGGGCGTTCAAATTAATCTCTCTCCACATGACAAATGAACCTCTCCACAAATTTTCAGTTTCAGAATGCCAAAGGTTTTCGAGAAAATTATTTTTGAAATCGTGAAAATTAAAGCAAAAAAACGCATTTGACAATTACCTAATCCGAAAATTATGGCAAAAAAGCACGCGGACGCAATTCAATGTCTTGCGTTTCGACATTCCACTGTAATGATATCATGTGTTGTTTAAATTTTGAAAATTTTTTTTTAAACACTATTTAATAGCATTTACATTATATTAAAATATTATTTCTTAAGAAGGTTACTTTGAAATGACTTTGAAACAATAATGATAATTCTATAACAATTTCGTAATTTCAACAATAAAACGCAACGTCATTTATCGTGTTTGTTTTTTTTCTTATTTCTCTTGGCTTTTCACGGTACGCGTTTTAGCCATTTACAGTGTTTTTATTGCGTGTTTATGTTGTTGTTCGTTATGTAACAACGATCAACAACATAGGTTTTTTAAATTACAATCGCGAAAGTCCTTCTGGGCAGAAACGAATTGGATTATTTAGGTTAAGTTAGGTTTTTTGTATACAAACGCGGAAGTCCCTCTGGGCAGAAACAAATTGGATTATTCAGGTTAGGTTACATTTTTTTTATACAAACGCGGAAGTCCCTCTAGGCAGAAACGAATTGGATTATTTAGATTAAGTTAGGTTTTTTGTATACAAACGCGGAAGTCCCTCTGGGCAGAAAGAAATTGGATTATTCAGGTTAGGTTACATTTTTTTTATACAAGCGTGGAAGTCCCTCTGGGCAGAAACGAATTGGATTAATAAGTTAAGTTAGGTTTTTTTTTTTTTTTTTTTTAATACCCCCGAAGGGGTTCCCGCCTTGTCGTGGCGGGGGGGCTCTAGTAGCCGTGGTCGATTTCATCCCACGGTGAAGCTAAGAGGAAACCACGGGCGGCCGATGGTGGTAGGATGGCCCGAGGAGGAGGGCGTTTCGCGCGGGGCTCGTTTGGGCCAGCGGGACCGCGCGGATGCGCGAGGAGGAGGGTCGCGGGGGGAGAGACGTGTCGGTGTGTCGTTGCCGCTCGTCCTGTCCTCCGCGACCCCGCCAGGGTCAGCCGCTGGTGGGGGCGCGGACGAGTGCAACAGCGTACCCGTACCCCCACCTACAGCGGAGAGGAGGAACACTCCGGGGGTTTAGTGCGGTCGGGCTGCTCCCCTTCAGGGTTCAGCCCAGTCCCACATAACCCCGGCTCTGCCCCTGCGGGGCCGGGGTATCTGTAAGCAGATTCCCCCGGATTAACAAAAAAAAAAAGTTTTTTTTATACAAACGCGGAAGTCCCTCTGGGCAGAAACGAATTGGGTCATTTAGGTTAAGTTAAGTATTTTTTATACAAACGCGGAAGTCCCTCTGGGCAGAAACGAATTGGATTATTTAGGTTAAGTTAGGTTTTTTTTTGTACAGTCAAGAGCACGTCAAGCTTGACACTTTGTACTTTGGACCGTTCTTATCGTAAGCGGCATAGAGTTGGATTTAAGTCTTAAGTGTCAAGCTTGACGTGCTCTTGACCCTGTACAAACGCGGAAGTCCCTCTGGACATAAACGAATAGGATTATTTAGGTTAAGTTAGGTTTTTTGATACAAACGCGGAAGTCTTTTTGTGCAAAAACGAATTGGATCGATATAGGTAGATATTGGAGACCGTGTGTGCACTAAACGTCAAAATAGGAGTTTGAGGTTATTTTTCACAATTTTTTTTCTCGAAAACTATTAATATTCTTACTTTGAAACTCGTGGGCGTGAGTCCCCCCCCCCCCCCTTCCCCTCATTCTTACATTTTTTACTCTTTTTCCCGTGCATTTGGTGCGAAAATATATAATTTTGAGGTTATTTTTTCGAATTTTCAACATCTCCTCCCCTCCGCCTATCACTGCCCGCACTCGCTGGCACTCAAAAGTACTTGCGGGCACTCGCTGGCACTCAAAGGCACTCGCGGGCACTCAAAATACTCAAAGGCACTCTGTACAATAATGGACCAACTCAGTAATTTGAAAAAAAAATCCATACAAAATGTTACACAACTGTTTAATATTGTGAGCAGAGAATTTTTTTAACAAACTACGCATTTAAAAAATAATAAGATTCACGCAAAAATACAGGGATTTAATTTAAACTAGATTAAACTTAAACATATATTCTTTTTATCACTGTGTATAGAAAAAAAGGTATAACAAGTAATATACGTACATGCTACTAAATTGTATCAACTTTTATAATTAAGCTTAAAAATATACTTTGTTTTAGTAATAAATAATAAACCACGATAAAAAAATATTTATCCACGTTCTTGGATAAATATCGAGTAAAAATGGATAAATATGGATATTTATCCATTTTTACTCGTAAAGATAAGTATGGATATTTATCGATATTTATCTTTATACTGAATATTTATCCCAATTATATTTATCCATGACCCATCTCTAGTCAAGCTTGACGTGCTTTTAACTATACTTAGAAGCAAAACATTTGTTACACTTAGTCACATTTGTATAGTTTTGTTTTTCACATGAATCTTTAAATGTGCATTTAAATAGTGTTTAAAAGCAAAAACTTTGGGACAGTGGTCACATTTGTGTGGTTTCTCTCCAGTATGGATCATTATCTTATGATTCTTGACTTGATATTTTGCTGCAAAACGTGTATTGCAAATATCACACTCATATGGTTTCTCTCCTGTATGAATAGTTAAATGTGCATTTAAATGCTGTTTAAAAACAAAAACTTTGTGACAGTAGTCACATTTGTATGGTGTCTCTCCAGTATGGACCTTTATATGACGATTAAGTTGATGTTTTGCTCTATAACGTTTATTGCAAATAGCACACACATAGGGTTTCTCTCCAGTATGAATCATTAAATGTGTATTTAAAGGGTATTTAAAAGCAAAACCTTTGTTACAGAAGTTACATGTGTACGGTTTCTTTTCCATATGAGTCTTTAAATGTCCATTTAAATGACTTTTAAATGCAAAAACCTTGTGACAGTGGTCACATTTGAATGGTTTCTCTCCAGTATGGATAATAATATGATTATTAACTTGACATTTTGTTGCAAAATGTTTATTGCAAATATCACACACATAGGGTTTCTCTCCTGTATGAATAGTTAAAAAATGTGTATTTAAATGATATTTAGAAGCAAAAGCCTTATTACAGTGGTCACATTTATATGGTTTCTCTCCAGTATGGACCTTTATATGACGCTTAACTTGACGTTTTGCTCTAAAACGTTTATTGCAAATAGCACACATGTAGGGTTTTTCTCCAGTATGAACCATTAAATGTGTATTTAAAGGGTATTTAGAAGCAAAACCTTTGTTACAGTACTCACATTTGTATGGTTTCTTTTTCACATGAATCTTTAAATGTGCATTCAAATGATGTTTAAAAGCAAAAACCTTGTGACAGTGGTCACATTTGAATGGTTTCTCTCCAGTATGAACCATTATTATATGAGTCTTAACTTGAGGTTTTGTTGCAAAATGTTTATTGCAAAAATCACACTCGTACGGTTTCTCTTCTGTATGAATTGTTAAAAAATGTGTATTTAAATAGTATTTAGAAGCAAAAGCCTTGTTACAGTGGTCACATTTATATGGTTTCTCTCCAGTATGCACCATTATATGATGTTTAGCAAGAGATTTTGTTGCAAAACATTTATTGCAATAATCACATTTGTACTGTTTCTTTCCTGTCTGAGTGCTTAAATTTTGGTTCGTCTTCTCTCCGGTACGAGTTATTTTATGAAGCTTAAGATGGTATTTACCTGTATAACATTTAGTGTTGCTATCACATTTGTTAGGTCGAGTATCAACATTCAACCCATCAGGTGTGTTCTGCATGTATCTTGTTTGAGCTAAATCAGTAGGCTGCAACACCACAGGTCCTACAACCAATTCTTCCTTAATTTCATGATCTGCATACAGTTCCGGCTCCTCCATTTTCCTTTGTTCTTCTTCTGTAACACCAACTGGCTCTTGTTTAATGTGGACATTCACATATAAATCCATAGGGCTGTTTTCTAATTCACTTGCTTCCACTTTGAAGTTCATGGCTTGCGCCAGTGTCAGTTTTGTAAAATTATTTATTTACAAAAATTATGGTGATTGGTATAGGTACTGTTAGAGGTAATGAAACCTCATTTGAGAATACCTGCGTGTATGTGGAGTCGGGTAAAAAAAAAGGAAATACTTTGACTCCTATCATTTTCAAAATGTGGAACCAATATAAAATGTATAAGATTTTTGAATAAAATATTTAATAATTACTTCTCGGGCGTGAGTGTTTTCTTTCAGGTTATGGGCTATAAGAAGGCACTAATAAATAAATAAATAACGTAACTAAGCGGTTGAAATTTTGAAATACGAGAAGGTAAGAAGAAGAAGAAGAAGAAAATTCAAAATGGAGTCCTGCAATGTGAAACTTAGAACTAATGGCTCTAATTTTGTGGTCTGGAAATTTCAAATCGAAATATTGTTAAAAGCTAAGCAAATATATTCTAATATTGAAAAAGAAAAAGACAATCCGGATGAAAAGTTTCTCGACAAAGATGCAAAAGCACAAGAAATCATTATAAATAGATTAGAGGAGGGAACTATGAACTTGGTCCTATCATGCAAAACGGCATACCAAATGTTTACAAAATTGAAATCTGTTTTTGAGCCTAAAACGAATATAGATACTCATTTACTACAGCAGAAATTTTTCTCTATCAAATATGAAGAAGAAGGTATATGTATGTTTGTCGCAAAGCTCGAGGAAATACGTAACAAACTTGCAGAAAACAAAGAAAATATATCTGAGACTATGATGATAACAAAAATAATAACGTCACTACCTGCGGTCTACAATCATTTTGTCACTGCATGGGAATCAGTACCCCGAGAATATCAAACTTTGAATGAACTCACGTCTAGACTGCTGCTTGAAGAGCACAGATTAAAAGAAAACGTGCCAATGCAAGCGTTAGCAATGCGATCTCATCCTTTGCAATCACGTAAATATAGTTTCCGTTACTTGCCAAAAATGCAACCGATCCGGTCATGAAACAAGGTATTGCAAAGCGGGCATAAAATGCCATTATTGTGGAAAGTTTGGCCACTTTGCGAATGAATGTAGATTCAACTTACACAAGTTTGCAAATAGAGGAGGCAACCGAGGTCGTGACAAAGAACACGGATGCACATATAACTGTCAAGCAGCTAACGCATTTGTTGGAACAACGGATAACAACCTAGTTGAGTGGTTTATGGACTCTGGAGCATCAGAACATATGTGTAAAGACAAGGACATGTTCATTGAATTAACTACAGAAAAGAATAAAACTGTTAAAATAGGCGACGGATCAATGCTGTCGATAAAAGGTATTGGGTGTATTAGGTTAGAAGCTTACAATGGTAACCAGTGGATAGAAACCACTATATCAAATGTTTTGTATGTGCCGGATTTAAAGGTAAACTTATTCTCAGTAAGTAGAGCTGTAGATAAAGGGTACAGTACAATTATTGATAGTAAATTGTGTAAAATAATAGATTCTGAAGGGTCTGTTAAGGCTATTGCTGAGCGAAATGGAAATCTGTTTAAAATGATTTTTCGTTTGTATAACCAACCTCCTTCAAGTAATGTTGTTCTGGATTTGATTGACTGGCATGACAGACTAGCACATCAAAATTTGACACAAATCAAAAATGTACTGTCAGAGCACGGTGTAATTTACAAAAATATTTCAATTGCTGTTTGTGAAAGTTGCTGTGCTGGTAAACAACATAGAGATATCTTTATACGTAGTGAAAATCGTGCAAATTCTCCGTGTGAGTTAGTACATGCCGACCTCTGCGGTCCTATGGAAGTTTCATCTATTGGTGGTTCTAAATATTTTCTTCTGTTCAAAGATGATTACAGTAATTTCAGAAAAGTATATTTCATCAAAAACAAGTACGAAGTTAAAAACTGCATTGACAATTTTATTGCTCTAGTAGAAAAACAGACTGGATACAAATTAAAAATATTAAGGACGGATAACGGAACAGAATTTGTCAACAATGAGGTATGTAAAATGTTGAATAAATATGGAATCGTACATCAAAACTCTATAAGGTACACGCCTCAACAAAACGGTAGGGCTGAACGGGAAATGCGCACAATTGTAGAAGCTGCCAGAACAATGTTGAAAGCAAAGTCAATGACCAAGAGATTTTGGGCAGAAGCTGTGAATACAGCCATTTATGTACTAAATAGAACTGGCCCAAGTCCCGTAAAGAAAAAAACACCGTTTGAACTTTGGACAAACAAATCAGTTGATTTTAATACTTTTCAAGTTTTTGGCAATCGTGTTTCTTTTCACATTCCGAAGGAAATTCGTAAGAAGTGGGACGATAAGAACGCGATTGGAATATTTGTGGGATATGAAGAAAATGTAAAAGGATATCGTGTTTATGTTCCTGAAAAAGACGATGTTATTTTGACCAGGGATATAATTTTGCTGTCAAATACAGATATCGAAGAAACAAAGACGGAACGGCCGAGTTCACGCGTAATTGACTCTACTGATAGTAATAATTGTGAAATTGAGGAAAATGAAAAAGAAGTAGAGGTTGAAAGGATGGAAACAAGAATAAATAATAGTCAACTCGAAACAGTTACCAACGAAGAATCTGTAGAAACAATTGATATCGAGCAAAGTCAACAAAACGAACAAAGGAGATTGAGAGATCGTAGTAAGATTCGACCACCACAAAGATATGAAGACTCAGAAATGTATAGTGTACTTCATTTTGCCGAAGTATTTGAACCTAAGTCTTATGAAGAAGCAATTAACGGCAATGAAGCTGATAAGTGGATTGATGCAATGGAGAAGGAAATATCATCCCTTGCGGAGAATAACACGTGGACTGTTGTTCCCAAGCCGGCTGATTGCAAGCCAGTTGATACCAAATGGCTTTTTAAAATAAAGAAAGGCGAAGACGGAAATAAGTTTTTTAAGGCGCGTTTAGTAGCTCGTGGTTTCAAACAAAAAGAATTTGTATCGGCATCCGAAGTTTACTCGCCGGTCGCACAGCTCACAACTTTCAGAATGTTTGTTGCAATAAGTGTGAAATTGGGAATTAAACAGCATCAAATGGACGTCTGTACGGCTTTCCTTAATGGTAAGATAAATGAACTTGTGTATGTGAGTTTGCCTGTGAATTTTAATATAGAAAGTGATAAAGTATGTAAATTAAATCGAGCTCTGTACGGTCTTAAAAAGTCGCCTAAGTATTGGTATGACACATTAGATGACACTTTAAGAAAATATGGTTTTACAGCCAGTAAAAATGATTATTGTTTTTATTATAAAGTGAGTAACAGTATTAAAACTTATTTCCTGGTGTACGTCGATGATTTCCTAATTATGTCGACAGACAATAATGAATTGCTCAATATAAAGAACTATTTACAGAAATGTTTTAAAGTTAAAGATCTAGGTATTGCTAAGTGCTATCTTGGCATAAATGTGTTACAGAACGGTGACCATACAGTTTTAAGCCAAACAGAATATATCGCAGGATTATTACGGAAATTTAACATGCATGAGTGTAAGCCGGTGTCCACACCGATGGACCAAAGTGTAAAACACAGTTTACTGAAATTACATATGTCTGAAAACGAAGCCATCGAAATTAAATGTAGAAAAGCTATCGGTGCAATTATGTATTGTATGTTAGCCACGAGACCAGATTTAGCTAATAGTATGTCAATACTGAGTCGTTACCAATCTTGCGCTTCTGAAGAATTATGGACAGCTATTAAAAGAGTTTTACGTTATTTAAAAGGAACTATGGAGTTAGGGTTAATATTTCATAAAAAATATTCTGATTCTTTTATTGAAGGTTATGTAGATTCAGATTGGGCAGGTGACCTGCTAGACCGTAAGTCTACAACTGGTTACGTATTTAAAGTTTTTGGGTGTACTGTAAGCTGGCTTTCTAAAAAGCAACAGTGTGTAGCTTTATCGTCTACTGAGGCTGAGTACATGGCACTCAGTCAAGCTTGTACTCAAGCTGCGTGGTTATGTAAAATGTTAGAAGATACATTCTTGTATGATAAAATGCCTAGCACAATTTTGTACGAGGATAATCAGGGTGCAATTAAAATAGCTGAGAGTTTAGATTCAAAGCGTCTTAAGCACATAGATATTAGGCACAATTATATCCGAGAACAAGTACATAAAGGAGCTGTCGTTTTGAGGTACATTGATAGCAAGGAACAGTTAGCCGATATCTTTACAAAACCTCTTGACAGAATGCTTTTTGAAAAATTTAGAATAATGCTAGGGCTGTGTTGAGTTCAGTTTTGTTTATAAGTAAGAGGTCCCCCCCCTTACATTTATTAATTAAGTTTTCATTAAGAGGGGGTGTTAGAGGTAATGAAACCTCATTTGAGAATACCTGCGTGTATGTGGAGTCGGGTAAAAAAAAGGAAATACTTTGACTCCTATCATTTTCAAAATGTGGAACCAATATAAAATGTATAAGATTTTTGAATAAAATATTTAATAATTACTTCTCGGGCGTGAGTGTTTTCTTTCAGGTACCTATATACCGTCTTCCCAGTAATTATTATTTGCTATATGTCGGCCGCTTGGACTTGGGCAGTGTCTGTTTAGAGAAACAATATGAAAATTATGGCAATCATTTTCTAATTTGTGATCGTTGGCAAGTGCCAGGCCATGAGACAGATGAATCTCTATTGTATTTTTAAGTTTCTGGCTTCTTTTGAAGAATTTTACCAATGTCGAGTCAGTCATGGGAGTCACACTTTTTTTAATGTTTAATTAATTAACACTGCTCTGTAGTCTATTCCAGCATCTGAAATAATAGAAAATAACACAATATACCACCACCATTAAAGATATTTAAATAAATAAGATTTATAATTTAAGTTTGTTAATACTAATAAAATCACTTATTAAATTTAAGAGGGGATTTGTGAAAACAGATAAAAGAAACTGGAAATTTACGGGACGAGGAACAAGATGGAAGACTATCATAAACAGAACATGTTTTGATAGGGCAGCTGAAAAATAATGGTCTGCGGTGCTTTTGTCCAATTCATATTCACAGATCGAACTATTCCGTATTCTACGTTTTGCCAGATGGACCGAAATGCAGGCATGACCAAAGGGGCTGGGAACGACGCCGGCAGCAGCACCGAATCACCAGATATATCCGGAGAATCGGTACCGCATCCTTATGAAGGTTATATCAGACGTAATAAGTACTTAAAAGTTACCTTCGCCACCCTGGTCACACACTATACAATAAAGGGCACACACAAGTATGAGAAATCGACAAAAGTAAACATATTCGCTGTCACACAATAACGAAAGGTAAAGGTGGATTCACAATACAGAAATGAGGCACAATAGAATTGCGGCAGTTTAACGCATTGCGGTGGCAATAGCGAAGTGCGATTTGATCGCGAATGCACAATAGTTGTTGAGAGACCTCGTATTTTTGACGTTTGTGAGTTTTGTTGGTGTGTTTATAGGTTAATAATACTAGTTTACTAACCTTTACAAAGGTTTAGTTTATAGGTTAATAATAATAAGGAAGACGTTAGGTATAAACATGCCTCATCGTTTGCCGATTCCATTTATTCTTCCATTTTGTACCTATGTTGGATTCCCTATTTTAATTCGACAAACCAGCTAACTATACACCATATTATGTCTACTACTAACTATTTGGTTTTTCTTAGTGGATACAATTGCTACTTTTTTATGCTTAAATTCTTTTTACAGACTACCTTCTAAATAGCACGGGGCGATCTGTTATTGGCCTTACAAACAAATATAATTTATTTTGTTAAATATTATTTAAGAAACGCCGTTGATTGTCTGAAAGAAATAAAATAAATAAACTGAAGTTTACGGGAAAAAATTTAAACAGATAACTATCTTAAAATCATAAAAATACTAATTTTTACAATACAAAACACTCACCGTGAATTTATTTTTACTACTAAGCAGGTGCTTAAATTCTCTTTGCTAAGCAGCTAAAATGCAGAATCCAATCCAATCCAAATCCATCCCCAAAAAACATGTCAAATTATAAAGAAAACGTATCCTTGCATAAAAACGACAGTGACAGTTCGTCGTTGCTCGTATTGCCGCGTTTTGTGATAAAAAGCTTACTTGAAACAAGCTTTTAAATTGCTTCACGCGTTAAAAGCATCGCAGCGCCTGATTGGTCAACTCAAGGTCATATCGCGCAACGAGATGAATTGCGGCAATTTATTGCCAGAATGTTTGCATTGTGAATCCACCTTAATAGTCAACAATGGTCAACGAATAACTTTTTTTTGATACTGTTTTTTTCCATTGGCAAAGGCAAAGGCACTAATGCGCCATACAGCCAAGACAGAGTAATTTCTTTCTTGGATTTCCATTACAAAAATTAAACGTCTTCCATTCATTCCAAATAGAGATGGAAAAACTGCTTATTTTTTTAAACGTTTAAACGCTATGCTTTTTTAAACGCCATTTCACTTAAACGCACAGGCTAGTGGACACTAGGCTTTAGTTTGAAGCTAACAAAATCGTTTAGAAAACGTTGAAGCGCATTGACTTGTATGTTAAAAAAAGCTTGCAACGTTGTGTTGATAGCGAAACCCAAGAGTAGACCACTAAAGGTTTTAAGATGTTATTTTGTAAAAAAAACGAATTATAGTTTAATATTAACATTTTGTTCATTGGCGTTTAAAAGCGTTCATAAACATAAGTTGCATAACTTTAGTAGTTGTACCTTTGAAATGGAAAAAACTGCTTATTTTTTTAACGTTAAAACGTACGTTTAAAAAGCGTGCTTGGAAAAGAGCTTTTCACTAACGCTTAGTTTGACGCTTAAAAAGTCGTTTATAAAAACATTGTAGACATTGACTTTTAACGCGCATAGACTTTAAGTTTAAAAACGCTTGCAACGTTATGTTCAATTAATTTGTTTATGAAACATAGATGACGTTACTTGATACTTAAGCACGTTGTAAAAAATGAAATTGTTGAGTACCTATAGAACTGACCAGTGATCAACGCTTACGCTTAAAATGAAAAGCTTATTTTAAAAAGCAGACCTTTTTAAGAGCTTTTCGTTTGAACGCCCACCTCTAATTCCAAATAAGGTTTTTTTTTTCTTATACATATCTCTTGGCATTTCGCGGTAAACGTTTCAGCCAAAAGTGTTTTGACAGACTTGTTTCTTTATCGGGAAAACTTCTTAGAGGATGGAAAAAAGTCTAAGGAAAACTTTTATAATTATTTTTGTCCATCCTTGAATATCATGGAATGTAATTATATGTGGAAAATATGGATATACAGTGTGTTGATTTGCATTCGCGCCATATTTAAGAAATTAATAATAGGAATAATGCTGAATCATCTAAGAATATTAAAAAAAATTCTGTTGAATATTCTGGCTAATTGTATCTAGTACAGTTTTGCAAAATTGTCCCCAAATGCATTCACCGCGGAGGATAGTGACCCCGCCACTCGCTTCACCGAGGGATACCTAATCTTTCTCGATCGCTTATTTACCTATTTTTTAAATTATGTTTATGTACTAGTATTGTTATAATTTACTAATTATTTACATTAGTTAGAAAAGTTGACTGAAAAAAGATTTTTTGTGTACAAACTTTAGGTTACATGAAAGTATTGGTAGAAGTACCTAGCTCCACAGCTGGTGGGTAGCTCCGTACCGGAGCCACCACCAGCTATGCAGAGTTTCGTTTCAACTTAGCACATTCTTCACAACAGAAAATGCAGAAAGAAACCAAAGACGATTTTTGCGCGCAATTCTTCGACACTCGTAATCTGCGTAAACTAAACGTTTCACATCATGCCATAAGAACGCACTTGATGGTAATGCAGGATGTGGTGAACATGGTAGCGGTTTTTTTTGCACTAACTCTTGTTTACATACCAAACCACGTGACATTTCGTCAGAAATTAGAACGTACGCGCGATATCAGCGGAACGTAGACGCAACACACATGGTCGACTGATGATCTACCAATCACGCGCTCGATACGATACTCCCCTCGTCCCTACCCGTACCCTACCACCAAATAGATCTAATGCATATTTTCTGCGCATAGGTCATTGTTCTGATGATTGCCGGTACCTGTGCCACGTGTAGTGCAAGTCAATGACCTTTGGATCAAGCATGTTTACTTAGATACCTATATGTCTGTGGTTACTGCAATTAAATTAAAAATAAGAATTTAGGAAATTTTTTTCGATTTTTTTTAGTGATTTGGGTTCAGTTTCGGATATAGAATGACCTCTGTAAATATGCCGAAAATGCAAATCCACACATTGTACATAGATGGAAAAGCGCGGGAAACTTCTCACAAGGCGAACGTACATTACGTACGTAGTACGTTTTTAACAACAATTTTAAACTTGGTTTTTATTGATTAATTTGATCATTTGAGTCGAGTAGTGCAAGTATTTTAGAAGTTGTATTTGTGTACATTCTGCTGTATCTGGTAAGTTTTGTAAATATTTCTTAAACCTGAGTTGACCCGAATCTCCTGATATTGCTTTGAGGGATTTTCCCTGATTAGGGAATACAATCCTGCAGCATAATCTCAGTACGTGCGGGATTTAAAGTTTCTGATCCCGCGGGACTCTGGTAGTTAGCTGGACCCCGCAGAATGCTGAAAAACTGAGGAAAAAGGGTTAAAATTCAAAGAAAGAAGTATTATTAAGTTCTTCAATGAGATCAGTCACAATTTAGGTATATTTAAGTGTTATTTTCGAAGTAACTGCGCAAAAGTTATAGTAATAGTTTCATCCGCTAAAGCGGTTCCTGACCTTACAAACTAGGTAGCCAACAGTGGAAAAGGCTCGCTGTGCTTCCACGCTCACTGGTAGTTACACTCCCTAGACAAAACGATAGTATCTTGGTCCAGGTTGTGTACTGGGTTTTCCACAGTATATATTAATCATCAGTGTTATCTTTGTAACGTTCGTACCCAGGATGTGCTAAATAAAATACGATTTGTCAACAACAAATAAATAAAAAGTATTTATTTAAAAATTTATAAACCGTGGTTCGAAGGGCCTAACTTTCTGATTTCACTTCCGTAGTTCGGTATTCCCCTAGCCACTGTGGCGGCTGCGGGGCCTTCCCTATAAGGCAGCGCCGGGGTTCTGGTACGTATCGGGGAACGCCGGGTCTGTGGGTTGTGGTTTCCGTCCAAGCCCTAGGCAAGTAGGAAGGCTGGAGCGGTGCAGTAGGGTCGTAAACGACGACGGTAGCTATTCTAGCCGTGGGATAACACCCTGTGAATAAATGTCCACAGTGAGAATATGTTGGAGAACCTCCGCTGATTGTGAACCCCTTTCACTATGTGCACCTAATATTATAGGGAGAAGCCGAAAGCAGTTGGTGTGGGTGTTCACTATCAGAGCGGAGTTACATAGTTGAAATAGAATGACTTACATTTCTTTTTCTTCTATACAGCGAGTTACAATTCAATATTAGCATTTAAAATTATGATAAGGAGTCTGTCTCTCGTGTCTTGTCTGCGGATAAGCGCTAACTTAGGATTAAACACTGGCTAACACATATAATATACGTTTGTTCAACACTTACCCTACGTAACGGAAAATTTGGATACAACTGATATAGGTCTGCCACGGACAAGGCGAGGTGCAGTTAAGACTGTCCTTGGTCTGTTCTGTATCACCAACGGTTGTGATGACGACAAAAAACGGATAAGAATTTTATGTATTGTCACGGTCATTAGGTGCCACCCATACGTAGCAATATACTTGTTGGCAGCATCTTTATAAACAATACTGAACTTCATAGTGTCAATAGGCAGTCCACAGTTTATTGCTACTAATATAAATTATATAAATCATCTAACAGCCACTGTTCATTTTGTAAAATTTTGGTTGATTTTTATTGTTTAGTGCAAAGCTATTTAAACAAAATTTTAGAATAGGAATGTTTAATTAATATACATTTACAAAATTATGATACAAAACAGTCACTGTCATTGAAGTTGAAAAGATAACAAATAAAAGGTTTCTCAATGGTACACTTTTTAATTGATTAGTTTGCGATTCATTGTATAGTTGGCATTTCTTAGAATTTATTCTCAAAACTAAGTAACATTTAGCACTGACATTTACTTTAAAACATGAAAAGTTCAGACACGCCTTCTTTGCGATTTTATTATATCTTATTGTATAATCAGCTCCTGAACAAGAGATCTATGGGTCATTATGAATATTAATACAATCGCATTGAGGGTTTACTTGGTACCGTCTATTAAATAGCAATATGAAAATAAATAAGTGTCTGAATAAACAGAGTTACGAGTTCGACATTTCTTTGTATAAGATTGGGTGTCTGTACTAGTATGGGCCATTGTAAGGACACTTAAGTTCAAATTTCCTAAGGTCATTTTAT